CAGCATCGAGTGCTTGAGACCCTCCTCGCCGAGCGTATCGTATGCAGTGACTATAGCGCCGGATTGCGAGAAGGCAGCTGCAGACCAGAGTTTAGCAACATACTACCACGGGCAGAGAAACATAATTACCATGTGACATTGTGAGCCACTGTGAGCTGGTGGCAGCGAAGAGATGGACTCTGTCTTCCGGAACCAGCCCGAGATGTTTCAAACCAGCACCGACCGTCAACACCAGCTTCTCGAACTCTACGAAGCTGGTGTACTTGAACGAGCTGAGCTCAAAGTACTGCCACTTCTTGTCGACCTCCTGCTGCTTGCCGTCAACCACCTTCTTAATCTTCTTCGTCTCCTCGTGAATGTCGAGAATCTTGCGCGAGCCCATGGCCTTTGCGTTGCCATACTTGGCCGACGAGTAGCGCAGGATGTCGTGCAGCGTGTTGAGCTCCTCGTCCGGCTTCAGCAAGAGGCCGTCCTTTGCCTTGACGTTGCGGCGGGGTATCGTCTCGCCGTCGGGCTTCTCCACGCCCGGCACATCGGCGGTGACGGGACCTGTCTTCGTGGCCTTGGCCTGCGGGTACAGCTTCTTGAGGTCCTGCAGCATGGTTGCGGGAGTGTGGGGGGAGCGCACAGGCTGCAGGTAGAGGGCGACGGCAATAGAGAGGACGGCGATGAGGGGAAAGGTCAAGGGAAGTACCGCCAGCAGTGCGAGGAGGGATAAATGGAGACTTCTGGTGTGTTAGGCAGGGCCAGACGAGCAGGTAATGTGGCGGACGACCAGAGTCTTGTTATGTGTGCGTCTCCGGACAGAGAGCTTGGACCGCCGGCACGCTTGGCACTGGGCGACGTGTGAGCGGCGATGACGCAGAACAGACCCTCGATGGATCGCCATCTCTAGAAAGTCCCGGGGCCTGCCGCTCTGCTCAACACCGAAACCCCTCGGCCAAGCACTCGCGCGAGCTGGGGTGCAAGCAAAGTGCTCAACCTCCAGTCTGTTCGATGCTCCGGGTACCGCCACCACCTCTTAATCAACGTACAAGGCGAACGCTACTCCTGCAGGGTCATCATGGAAGACCGTCTCACACGCTTACTGGGTGATCCAATAGCTGATGCCGAAGATGGTACGGCTTCCCTATTCGTCCATTCACTTCACCCTCGGCTCCTCGTAACTCTATATCTTCGCGATTCGCTATAGCAATGAAAGCGGCTCCACGCTCATCTCAAACTGTCAGAAGCCTTCGTCGTCTTCTCGCAATCCATTCCTTCTCAAGCTCTAGGCATCATAGACTCCAAGACATCGACCGTCGAGGTCTGCGTCTCGGGGCGTGACCTCACAATTCATCAGTCACCAGGCCTTCTGACCTCAGATCGAAAATCAGGGACCACAGGCGCAGGTCGGCAGTGCCCTCTCTCCTCTACTTCCATTCTTGGAGTCGCTTACCGTGACCATAGTCATATGGAGAGTCACTCCGCTGTTTGCTGAATGGTTGAGCCCAACGAATTTCCTGTTTCGCCATGACTTTCTGTCCTCTCACAGCACCGTTGTTGAACTTGGCGCTGGAGTCTCGGGAGTAGTGGCCCTGACACTCGGTCCCCTCGTCAGAAGATACCTTGCCACAGACCAACAATATGTCTTGAAGCTATTGAAGCAGAACATAGCTGAGAACACTCCCGTGACAAGTACCAAGACAGGTCGAACAAAGCATCACAAGAATAGAGAACAGCATGGAGGAGACCACTCCAGTATACAGACTCTTGAGTTGGACTGGGAGCTCGACTCAGTTCAGTCTTTGTCCACAGTCCTGCGGGGTGAGCAGCCCACTTGCTCCAAGGTGGACTTGGTTCTAGCATGCGACACCATCTACAACGAATCCCTTATTGAACCTTTCAACAGCACATGTGCCGAGATATGTCGCCTCCGGTCCGAGTCTCAACAGGAGGGTCGGACCATATGTCTGGTGGCTCAGCAACTTCGATCATCCGACGTGTTTGAAATGTGGCTCAAGAGTTTTCAAAAACAGTTCAAGACGTGGCGAATTCCCAATGAGTTACTAACGGAGTCTCTGCGCGAAAACACAGGTTTCATTATATACATGGGGATTCTACGATGACTCTGCAGGATGCATCTTACCGACTAGTCCAACAGTCCTGGAACTGCTTCCTTTGAAATTGGGTAGCGCCTTCGTCACCCTTTACACAGTTTGACGAGATTATACAATGCGCCCATATCCATCCTATATCCTTCCCAGCTCATGACGAGTAGTAATGTATAGGGAAATGGAGAACATCACACTGTGCAGACTCCCGGAAGTTCTCATTCTTCACATGCGTATCCAAAATCCTCAACGTCGGACTATTTCCTTTTACAGGTTGCCATGGTTCGCTGTTCTCCACTTTAGCAGAGGTGTTTGAAAACCCACGAGAGGCAAGGAAATCGAGTTTAGGGTTGGGATTTCTTTCTCTACCAAACGCGGTCCACGTGTCCACGATATACTGAGAGAATGGTATATCATCTACATCCCGTGGAGTCCGCCCTTGACGGATGAGTGTCCCGAATACGTAGTAAAGGTCGCCGCTGTGGCATCTGAAGTACGGCAAGCGGGTGTCGCCGTACGGACGCTCAGAGGTCTTTGGAGCTTCGCAAGTAGGAGGATTTGGACTCCATTCAGAGATCTGATAGCTTCGATCGAACTCGTACGAATACACGACTGGGAAGATGGTGTTGGCAGATCCTACAGCAGCTGTTGACTGGTCCAAGCATCTGAACAAGGCATCCGTTGCCACGCGTGCAGTCAAGTTGAAGACGTCAAGTGTTTTGTTACTCCCCTGTGGGATGGGGAACTCCTTAGATCCGAGAATGTCTGCTGCATCGAAACCCTGTTCCGTAAGAGCCTGCGAAGCGTTGGTGCTTTTTGAGAAAGCTGAAAACGGACCTCCATCGTCCCTCATCACCCCTATCATTACGGAGACGTCTGATTTTGGCGCAGACGCATTCAAAGGCAATCCATTACTTGTCAAGTAGAAGCCATCAACTACTACATACCTAGGAGCAGCATTAGTTCTCAAGATACCCGCTAAAGCAGCCAAACATTGCTCACCGTGCTTGGTAGCTCTGCAGACTAAAAGGGTCTTGGGTACGAAGACAGGCTACTTTTGCTGCCGACTCCACTTGGTTGCAACCGGTCCCGTTCAATATCGCCCTCGTCAGATTCGTAGCTTCCGCGATTGTCGGATATTCCGAGAATGTTGAAGCATATTGGGCGCCAGCTGGGTTCGATTGCATGATAGCACCACTGAACAGTCCTTTTGTTTGTGGAGAGGCGAGGAGTGCCCTCACCGACGACGCCCCAGCGCTCTGACCGAACACAGTAATCCGCTCCTTGTCTCCACCGAAATCTGCAATATGCTTCTGCACCCATTCGAGAGCAGCGATCTGGTCCGCAATTCCATAATTCCCTTTCAGCGTGGTGTTCTCCAAGGCAAGGAAGCCGAGGGTCGAGACTCTGTAATTGACCGTGACAACTACAACATCTCCCCTGGCTGCCATGTTGCCGCCATCAAAAGTTGTATCGGAAGCCGCCCCTCCCACAAATCCTCCGCCATAAATCCAAAGCATCACAGCCTTCTTTGTAGAGGAGGAATTTCGATTGGGGAGGTACGGTGTCCAGATATTGAGGTAGAGGCAGTCTTCGCTACAAGAAGGCGCACTACAACCTGCCTGAAGACATTCTGGACCGTATGCTAGTCCCGAGACATTCGAGCCGGATGGTGGGGCATACCTTGGATAATCAAACCGCTGTGGAACAGTGGCATATTTGAGTCCAAGGAATCGGAAAGATAGCTTATCGCGGTAGCCAACGATACTAGCGTTTCCAGTGTTGACGGATGTCTGCCACTGTGCGCTTGCATCGACACTAGCCTTGGAGCTCAGCGAAGCAGACTGAGAACATAAGGATGGAAGAAGGGAATCACAGGGTCGAGTCTGGAGTTCGCCACGAGTGTCTATAGCCTGACACCCTGACGAGCCCCCAGCCCAGTACAAGCCTATCTGTTCAGCATCCTTCCCGTGATCCAGATAGCGCAGAAAGCCAAGGTCCTGCGAAGAGTTCCCAGGATTCCACAAAGACTCTTGCAAGCTCGCGCAGCTGGACGAAGACTGTGAATAGGACTGCCGAGCGCCGAGGACGATGGCGGCGGCGGTTCTGGAGCTCCCGGGGCCTAAATGGAATATTGAGCTGATTGCGCAGAAGTTGCGGCAGATGCTACGAACCGTACAGATCGTTGTGGGTCAGTATCGTCAGGTCAGAGCCAATTGACTGCGGACTGGGAACTGCGATTGCACAAGAAACCAGACATATCAAGGTGAACAGAACGAAAGGAACAGCGGGAGCCATGGTGAAGGCGTCCTGAAGCCTAACAAACAACGCGAAGTTTTACGAATCATGATGGCAGGGCGTTCACGATAGAAATCAGCAATCTACCGGAGCGAGTTGCGTCCAAGAAGGGAGAAGCCCATTCGCGGAATATATTGAGGCTCGTCGTCTTCAGTCCAGAGCTACGGTTGAATAGATGAGGGGCAGCGGGCGACGGAGCTAGAACGGAGCACTGGGACCTGATCGCCGCCGCGTACATCTGGCGACGGCGCTCGCTGGGCTAGTGACGCTGCTCGATATTGAGTCTCTGATGAAATACTGGAGAGGACGCCGTTGGGGCTGCGCATGCATTGTTTTCGCGTCGCGACGTGTGAGCAACCAGCGGTGGCAGGAAGCGTTGAGGGCCAGTCGGGAGACGCCCAATGTCCTCTCGAATTGTCGACTCGACTGCGGTCGGCGCATCTCACCGCAGACCGCGTTATCGCAGAGGAGAGGACTGATGATAGCGCGAGCTGTCGTCGCTCAGTCGCTGCAGGGTGGTGACCTCACAATGAAGAAAAGGCCCGTGTCTTGCGGCAGCGGCAGCCGGCGCGCGTTTCAGCAACTTCAGCAACAGGGCGAGGTGCGTGCATGCACTGGCGGCGTGGCCACTCAGGGCGCGCCTGCCCTGCCCTCGCCCGCTCCACCGCTCTTCCCACCAGCTCGCCGCCCGGCACCCAACGCTGCGTCGCTGCTGTTGTGCCTGTGACGGCAGCGCGACCAACGCCCCCCGATCGCTATCCTGCTCAAGTGCTAGGCCCAACGTCGCCGCACGCAACAGGCAAAGCAGGCAGCGCGCGCAGCCAGCGCTGGCCTCTGGAGGACCGCCGACGCCGCGCGAGGGCAGCTCCTCGTCCCTCCCCCAGCGAGCCAGGCCGATCGGCTGGCGCCTGGCTGTTCGCGGCTTAGCACGGTCAGCGCCCGCGCATCGGCCCCGTCTGCAAAAGGGCTCTTGGAACCATGGCCCCAACGCAACACCTGGGCATGGATGGGCTCAGTGCACAGTGCACACACACTTGCGCCCGCTGTTTTATCCAGCTCCCCTCCTCCTCGACCGCCCGCCCGCGTCCTCGAGCCATGATGATAAACTGCCCTCGTCCGGCCGCCGCCCTGCCACGGCTGCCGCTCCCACAGGGGCGCGCCGCTCGCCATGCGCTCGCGCGCTGCTGACAGCTCCAATCCGCTGCAATGGATACGGCAGGGTGGCCCTCCAAGCACTTGAATGCTCGCGCACCCGAAGGTCGTTTTCCCACAATAACACAGGCCCAGCTTGGCCCCTTCTGGCCTAGCGCCTCTCGCGGCCAAGCCCTCTTGCTTCTCTCTCAGGATGCGTGCGCTCTCCTCTTCGTTCTACCTGACAACCCGACTCTTCTGACTCCCTCCTCGCCGCCGTGCCCCACCCCCTCAGCTGCCCTCTCTGCTAACTCAGGCTGTCCTGTCGCCCGTCTCTCTTCTCTTTGATCGCGTCCTCGGCTCCCTTTGTTGCCGCTCCCTGGACCGACGCCTCAAGAGCCGCTTCCGCCCATTCCTGCTCCTGTCGCCTCTGCAGCCCGCGCGCTCCCTGACCACGACTCCGCCACGACTGCATACTGCTCGTCCATGATAGGCACTCGATTCTGCTCCCTTGAGAACGTCGCCGTGCCCGTATCGTCCTCTCTCACCGTCGCTGCTCGCCCTCCAGCCCGCTGCCGAAGCCTCTTCTCGAGGCCCTTCGACGCTCGACAACGCTCTCCACGGTCACGGAAAGCAGCTCAATCGTCGACATAGGGCGTCTTATCCGTCCTCCCGAGGCGGCACCGGCTTTGCTTTGGTCGTTCGCGCGTCGGGCGTCATGCGATCCAAAGTACCTGGAACCTGAGCCGACCCACCACCTGCACTCAACACCACCGCCTCACTGCGACGGGCAGATTATGACAGACGTCGCTTCGGTTCAGGCGCTTGCTGATTCTCAGCCCGCTCCCGTCTCCTTCTACACTGGCCCTGCTCCTGCCACCTACACCAACGGCTCTCCTGCGCTTGACGGCATCAACGAGGAAGAAGACTCGTCCACCATCAAGTGTATATGCGGCTTTTCTGATGACGACGGCAATACCGTCTTGTGCGAAAAGTGCGACACATGGCAGCACATCGTCTGCTACTACGAGTCGGCTCACCATGTACCCGACGTACACGAGTGCGTCGACTGCCAGCCCAGAGCCGTCGACTCGAAGAGCGCTGTCGAGAAGCAAAGGATGCGACGAGAGTTGCACAGCATCGGCGAACGCAAAGGCAAGCCGAAGACAGCGCCAAAGAGCCACAAGAAGAGAGTCAAAGATCCTCTTGGCGCAGTCCAGCCCAACGGCTGGGCTGTTCACTCGAATCACGATCACTACTACGGCAATGAGCGCAAGAGCGGAAGCCCGCGAGATCTACCACCAGCCGCCAAACGTCCCAAGACAAGCCATCGAACCTCGGGCTCGGTCAGCATGCTGAGCCAAACACCTGCATTGGCCCCGGCCTCGCGGAAGCGCGCGAGCTCGACAATGCAAAATGGACATAGCCCTGTCAAGTCACCTACAAGCCCTGAAGGTCCTTCAGAAGAGTGGTCGCCCGAGTTCATGAACTTGTATCGACAGCCGAGTCCACCCTCTACCGACACGAATTCATATACAGGTATACGAGTCGCGAATGACATTGCACTGTGGTTGAGAGATCGAGATGCTCTAGCTGAAGCTACAGGAGGGTTGCAACCTGGTGACGTATTCCAGCGGATTGACCAGACCATCGAAGACTTCGACGCGCCTCTAATCCAGAAAAACAATGAGGAAAACCCCAACGTAACCGCGCACGGTCTGCACCCCCAGTGGCAGTTCCTTACTGTCGACACCATGGTACCACCCGGTGCTTACATAGGCGAGCTCAAAGGTCGCATAGGCAGGAAGGAGGACTACTTTGCAGAACCGGACAATAGGTGGGACCTCCTCCGGCACCCCGAACCCTTTGTATTCTTTCCGCCTCATCTGCCGATCTACATCGACACGAGACACGAGGGCACAATCCTGCGCTACGCTCGCAGAAGCTGCAAACCGAATATGCAAATGAAGATTCTGACTCAGGGTCCCGACCACGGCTATCACTTCTGCTTTGTTGCAATGCACGACATTGACCCTGGTGAGGAGCTCACCGTAGGCTGGGAGATCGATCCAGAGATCAAGCAAAGGTTGGAAAATGCCGTCACGAACGGCGACATCCGCAAAGAAGGCTTCAAGAAAATGGAACCCTGGGTGGCATGCGTTTTGTCCAACTTTGGAGGATGCGCCTGCGACACTTCAAGGAACGGCGAGTGTCTCCTTGAGCGTGCACGTCGTCCGAACAACATTTACGCTGAACCGTTGCCGCCTAAATCGATCAAAGGAAGGAAGCCAAAGAAGCAGCAATTCTCCCCTCTCTCTACGGGCCACGCGACGAACAGCCGCGCCGGCAGTGAGCCACAGATCCGGAACGGCGGAGACGACGACAATGTTGATAGTCGTTCCACTTCCGGATCTCATAAATCAAGTAGCCGTGATATCACTCCTGCTACCCATTTCTCGGTGGATGGTGGTGAGTTGAAGATGTCAGATCGCGAAAGACGGAAACTTCAGCAACAAGAACGCTTGTTCGAGCAGCTGGAATATGACGAACAACACAAGGGTAAAAGAGGGAAGAGGAACAGTGCTGGGTCAACACTCAACACACCCGGTCTTTCATCCTCTGTAAGGTTCGATCAACGACCTGTGCTCTTAGGTGCTGATATGCTCGAACAGAGACAACTCGGACACACGGAAGCCTCGCCGTCTTATCGTGGTCCTCGTGAACATGCCAACGGTGTTGCGCGCAAGATCTCAGGCAATTCTTCGAAATCTAACGGACGTGCCGCCGCCAAACCGAAACCTGTCTATGTCGATAGCTCCACGCAAACTGATCCCGGCAAGTTCAGCGCGCCGCCGACACCGATGATCTTGCCTAAGGCGAGGGTGATCAAGCGACCTATATCTTTCAAGCACAAACTCCTTCAGCAGGCCATTGAGGACAGACAACAGCGGGATCGCAATCGATCCGCCTCTGTAAAGACGGAAGCACGGTCCCCCGCTCTCAAGGACGTTTCGTCCAGCAAGCCTTCTCCTACCCCGTCAGGTGCTTACCACGGTGATCAAACCATGGGAGACGCCGTTACAGATATTCAGCCAATCACAACAGCTACCACGACGGACTCCATATTGGCCAAAGAGGAGTCTTCCGTGCCTTCAGTGGACGTTGAAATGAAGGAGGCAGACGATGAGTGCGCTCCACCATCGTCTCCGCAACAGGAGGAGATGGCCGATGCCCCTACCCCAGCGTCGTTCACGAACACCTCGGATCCTCCCATGCAGCCTTTACCTCCCGCTCCACCATGGCCTTCATCGGCCATACCCACACCTTCCATTGAGCAGGTACATGTACCAGAGTCCGCACCATCGCCTAAACCTGCCGATCTGCATATTGCCCTCCCACCGCCAGAATCTGCCCCATCAATACTTTCCACTAATCCCGTAACCACTCCTGGCTCTATATCTGGGAATGGCATCGCGCAATCTCCAGTCGGCGTCGCATCGGCACCATCGCCCTTTTCACCGTCGGTCACGAATGCTGTCAACCCTGGTCCGATGCGGAAGAAACTGAGTCTTAGTGATTACACCAGTCGAAGAGCAAAACTGGCGCAGACGCAGTCGTCTGGAATGAGTGCTACCCCACCACTTGCTCAGTCGCAGTCAGCCATTTCACCTACGCTTTCCACTGCAAGCCTTCCGACGCAGACATCACCTCCGAGTAAGCCGACAGAGGCTGTGCTACCTGCAGTAATGGAGGAGCCGATGCCGACTCCACCCACGACCTCAACTTGAGACTTACTATACCCCTCCATGGAGACTTTCCTTTGTTTCGAAAACAGGGCGCTCAGCTGGGCCTTGGGCGCTGGGCGCTTCTACGTACTGCCTTCAAGTGTACATTATATAATGCTGCGATGGACGACTCTTCTTCTCACCTTCTACCCCTTCCATGGACGATTTATGTAGGTTCTTCTGAAGCGTTTTGTTTGCGCCATGACTTTTACTGCTGCGTCAACGGCGCGGGTTTGAGGAGATTTTCCTACTACGAACCAGGTGTCGCCTGAGCTCTGGCTTCCCTATGCTGCTGATGATGGGAAGGTTGGGATGATGGTGGAGTTCAGGCTTGCTTCACCTCGGTGACTGTCAGGTACTACGATACGGCTGTGAGCCTACATTTGGGACTACTGTCTTTCTGTCCGTAAGTGGGACTAGCGGATACAACCAAGGCAATCCAATTAAAATAAAAAGTTAAACATCTGAACTGATCCCGCACAGCACGTTTATGTGAATTTTATTCAGTCCATCTAGCAATACATGCAGACGTATGTTGAGGTATACTATACTCCATCAGAATGGTTTCCCCTCTACAAATCCTCCTTCCAACTCAGCAGGGTATGCCTCATTCACAGCCCCACCCCACGGCGCAGGCATGATCTGCTGTCCCTCTCTGCCGAGCACGGGGCTCTCACCCGCGCCATACACCTGCTGAGCTGGTGATCTTAGGATTCCGCGGCCTGGAGAAGCCGGATTCGCATACTTGAACGTATCCTGTCCGCCCGACGTCCGCGTATAAAACCCTGTCGGACTCATCTCAAACGTGCCACCCACAGACCGATGACTCGCAGAACGATCCACTCCCCCTCCCGCACCACCACCACTCCCGAACGTCGTGCCACTGAAGTACCCAGCATTCGCCCCCAGCTCATGCGCACCAGGCCCCGGCGTCGAAGCCGCAGAATTGCCATAGGCGCCCGGCACATAATCCCACTTCTCCCTCTCCCCCAGACTGGGCGAGGTGTAGTACGCAGGTCCCATGTTGGGCTGCTGGTGCATCTGCATCGGCATCGGCATCTGGCTCGCTAGCAGCGGACTCCGTGGCGGCGAAACACGTCGGATCGTCGACGCTTTGCGGCTGATTTCTTCCTTTAGTGAGTTGCTGCGGCCGATGAAGAAGAAGAGGCCGGCGCCCAGCGCGATCACGGAGAGCGCGCCCACGGATATGCCGGCTATGGCGCCTGTAGTAAGCTTCTTGGATGGGGATGCGGGCGCGGAAGAGCTGGGTGTGGGGGTCGCGGATGAGGTGGAGGTTGGCGGCATTACCATTGTTGTCAAGCTGCCCGAGGGTGAACCTTCGGCGGGGAAGGGGTCGCCCGGGTTGAGGGAGAAGTCGGAGGAGAGGGCGAGTTGGCGTTGGAGGGTTAGGTTTACGGAGGGGTTCTGGGGTGGGTTAGTTGGGTGGGTGGGGTGATGGCGTGGGAAGAGAGAGGGGAATGGTAAAGGGCTAAGGGAGAAAGGGTACGGTTGTGAGGATGCTTTATGGAGGGAGGTTGGGGGATGGGTCTACGTACCGGATTAATGACTCCTACCATGCCGTATTTTATGCAGGAATCTGGCGCACTGCAGTAGAAGAAGATGGGGTTTGTGTCGTTGATCT